GTGTGACCAGTAATACCGACAAACTGCTCCTGATCAAGTCATGTTAATTTTATAATAGTGGCACACTCTGGCCAACGCTATCTGTTGCAAATCAGCTGTTCAAAGAAACAGTTTACAAAAGAAACTACTGACTTGCCAAGTGAGAGAATAGGTGTCAATAGTTCACTCAAAATGCATAGTTGTCTCTCACTAGACTGTGGGCCAGTATTGGTTTAGTAATTTCATAATCCTTCCTCCCTGAGATCAAGCAGCAGAAATTATGTGACAATGAGCAAATACTACTGATGGATTTTTGGGTAAACTAAATAGAGTAGTCTTACATGTCACTGTTTCTAAAACAGGGCATTTTCTCGGCTGCGTTAAAAAAGGGCAAACATTGAGAGTATACCCACTTCTCCAGGGACCACTTCACCACTGTGTGTACCATAACCCTTCTGTCATTGTTGTTAATGAACACTCCATTCTCACATGTCTTCACACCAGGAGTTCCTCCCTTGCAGGACTCTGATCGGTCAAAACCTCTTTGCTGTGTTATCCTTGAAATTGTACAGATATGTGTGGCAAGGGGTCACAGGGTTAGTGCAGTCTAAGTCTTAAGTGACTGCTAGAGTCATCCTGTGACTTCATCGTATCATGTGATAGGAAAAATAATTTCTACAATGTTGTCAAACCCATTATGTATGTGCAGTGCAGTAAACCCGTGAAGAAGACAATTACTCTCACATTATGTAACCGACATTTATTTAGAGTGTCAGCCATCTTAGCAGACATCATTACATGCATGCTCTGTTTGTGCTTCTTCTCCTCCGACTCTTTATGTAGATGAAGTCAGAGACTGATTCACAATCATTGTGAAACCACACAGGTTAGTTCAGAGCACACCACGATGATAAGACTCAGGGCTGGTGCAGCACAGACTTCCTGGAAGGGAGAGGAAAAGAGAAGAAGAAAGATTTCTGATAAGTCGAATATTTATTCATCAGCTATCCACATCTCCCTCTCGCTCGGTCTCAGACACACAGTGATGCACAGATATGACATGAACTCATTTTATTGAGTSTCTTTTTMATCCATCAATTACCATTTTTCACAGAGGCGAGAACCWGTCCTACAGACAGATTTGTTCTAAAGTAGTACGAGCAATTGAAGAAAATTCGTGGAATTCACCAATTCAATCATACTTAGAATTTCCTCTCAAGTACACAGATAATTCATGAGGAGAAAAACAGATAAAGAGCTTTCATTACAGGGGATTCTTTGCCTGAGCAATTCCGTTATCTTATCCTGAAGGAACTTTGAGTTAAAATATAATAGCTACATTTCTTTTATGAAGAGATATCAAATATCATTATCTCCATCACCACCATCATCATCACCATCATCATCACGGCCTGGCAATTTACTTGATTGGGGTATTTTGTCACAGCAGCTAATTTCAGTTGTTTGGATGTTTTGGATTATTTATTGTATCTGACAGAGAGAGAGAGAGAGTTTGGTGAATACAACCTTGAGACATTGAGCTCACAAATTAGAAATTAAAATGTGTCTCTCTCATTGTCTTGCTTGACAACCCTGTAACACTCCGGCCAAACCTCATTTCTTGTTCTCTCGGCGGAGGACGGCCTTGTTTATCTCCCTCAGCAGAGTTTCCTTGTTGTTCTTCATGTTAGCTTCAGCTGTCTCCAACACAAACTTGATCTTGGTATCATTGAAAGGACGCTGGAAGGTGGTGTACTCCTCCATCTTCGCATTGATCTCCTCTGCATCTATAGACAGTGAAGGCTTATTAGGCTCTAATCAAATAAGATCCTGCTGTTCTATGACACCTTGCTAAAATTCATAGAGCTTGTAGTAAGTCACACAATGTGTGCCAAGGAGTAATTAGTATTCATTTGTATCTATTTGATTTGTTTGGGAGAATCTACAAGGTCTGACCTGGATACCTGAGAATCTCTTGAATTCGGATTTAAACAGGTGCTAATCCTTGGAGATTATTTGGCAGAATATGTGCAAGTCCTTAGTTTCTTAATACTGACACTATTATACATGTATATGTACTTTGGGTTATGTACAGCAAATCGCTTGCAAACGAATTTTAAAGACGACACCACTGTGCACACTCCTGCAAGCATCAGCATGCAGAGCCCTGATAATGCATTATAGCATTGTCAGATACTGAAATACAAAAGCATACATCCATATCCAGACCACTCCTCCGTTCCCTTCACTGGTTACCAGTGGCTGCCCGCATCCGTTTGAAGACACAAGTATGTTGCGTACCCCGCTGCGAATGAATCGGGCCAGTCCACATCCAGGACATGGTCAAACCTTACACAAGTGGACTCACTTAGCTCTGCATCGACCAATCGGCTTTCTGCTCCCTCACCATGAGGGGCAACTAGCCACTCAACAAAATCACAGCTGTTTGCTGTATTGGCTCCAAAATGGTGGAACGAGCTCCCCATTGACATCAGGACAGCAGAAAGTCTACACATCTTCCACCACAGACTGAAGAGACATCTCTTCCGACTGCACCTTGGTTAAGAAGATGTCGTCTACTCTGGTGTTTATATGAATTGTATATTGCACTTACATGTAGCACTTGTAGTTCAGCTTTTCGAAGCTATTGTACTTACATGATTTTTGCTGTTCTGGGTTCGTACCCTCATGGTTGAATGCACTTATTGGAAGTCGCTTTGGATAAAAGTCGRTAAATGATATGTAATGTAATGTAGCTTGAACTATCGCAAGGAGTGAGCAAAGGGAGTGATGAGAAACTTTCACTGCTTAAATAGACTGCCTCATAGTATGTGTATTAGAGATGATTGTAGAGAGTGAGGTATGCCACATGATAGGATCAGCCAAGCTCAGTTGTCTTCCTGAACTACCTTGCAAGCGTCGCTCCATTTTTGCATGCTGACAAGCTGCCATGTGATTATTAGCACTGAGGCTGAAATATCACAAACACAACCCCAAATGCTATTTTGTGTGGTCTTCGTTTTCTCCCCAGCTTCATATTTATGGATTAATGTGAAATCAATCTTGACTTCCACTGAGAGAAATGCTTTCAGATTGACAAAAGGTATTGTCAAAACAAATAATTCACTGCTCCTGTTCCTATGCTACACAAATATAATACACTGTACATTGCAATATACAGCAGTGGCCCCAAGAGAGAAACACATTCATAACAATGCAATGTGTGTGTATGTGTGCGTCACAGACCGTGGCAGTTCCGTCTATTGAAGAGCGGCATGTAGACGATTGTAGGCTCCTTCTCTTTTCCCTCAAACACGTAGCAGTCCTTTGGCCACTCTCTCTCCTCCAGGACCTTATCGTCTATCTCAGGGAAAGGCTTCTTTAACTCCGCAGCATATTCTCTGGCCAGAGTCAGAGTCTGAGGAGAACGCAGGAGCGGACACCAGTGTCACACGGTTTTACATCCTTGAACTTGTTGAGTGGTCAACAAATGACAGATGAGGAATTGTTATAACTCAACTATCCTTTAATTCATAAACCACAGGTACCACTTTTTCACAATCTTATTATTCTGCCCTCAAGACTTTTTTGGACTTGTTTTGGAGCTAGTTTGGAATAGAGAGACTTTAAACTTTTGTCTTTGTGGACCTTTAATGTCAACAGAGGACTTTTGGTTTACTTTGAGAAATCTTCTGTTTATACCTGTTTGAAATGTTATGGCATTTGGACTTTGAGTTATTTATTTCCTGTCTTTCTTTGAAGCAACTGACACTAGCTGTGTCTCAATTCAGGGGCTGCATCCTTTGGAGGCTACAATTTAACGATTGCATCAAAGTGGCGTGACTAGGCTGTCCCATTTTGAAGGCTCCCCCGGATTCTTTGAGCTTCGGTGACTGTTTTTCATAGAGGTAATGAATCAAGCAACAAGACATCCAGTGCTTGAGTATCACACTTCACCTCAACCCAACAGTACAAGTGTTGAAATATCAATGGGCATTAAAACTTTCTCATTGTGTCTGTTGCTTGGCAACAGCAATAAGGGGGGGGGGGGCATTTGTAGACCAGATAGTGTCTTTGCGTTTTGTCCTTTGTGATCGACAAAGCATACAGCCACTGAATTAAGACACAGCTCTTGTGTGTCTCAACCTTAATGTACTTGTCTTTGTCCTGTTTCTCACTCCTCTGATTGGCTGCACCACCCAAATGTGTTACACCTGAGTTCAGTTGTCTCTCTCTGTGCTCCCCACTGTCCTTTTTCAGTTCACCTAAAAATCATTTCAAGCATTTTTAATATAAACATCATTTTACCTTTGATCATTCATAGTGCTCAGCCTGTGAAAACTGTATGATTTCCTAAGGGTAGAGACTTGATGATTTAACCTGGGGGTTACCTCAGACTGGGATTGGAGACAACACAGCTATAACAAAGTCTGCATTATAAACTGGGGGCAGACATGAACATTTGCTGGCCAGAAAGAGGCTACTGAAATGCATTATGAGGACCCTGTGTTTTTTTTAGCCTGATCTATTCATACTTGTAAGTACAGGTTGGAATATCTTGCCCCCTGCTGCTCCATTCTTTCATTAAATTTGTCTTAGTCCTTAACTTTATTGGGTCCTCTGACTAGAATAGTGCCCCTTTAATGGGTCATGAGGAATTAATTGAAATATAATTGATTGTTTGACAATGCCTTTTTTCAGATAACCCTATGAGGTTTGTTTTTAGGAATATGAACATTTTCTCTGAATGAACATACAAACACTATAATTATACAACTGTAGTATAATTTTTGGCCATCAAACCATGTCCCTTATGAATGTCACTATATACCTTTAAGAATCTGCACATGTGTGATTGAAACATGATTTATTACTGATTACAATAAGTTAGTGAATGTAACTACAAATCAAATCATATATTCTGTGTGTAACAAGCAGTATGAGGTGATTGTATAACTTGTGTGAAGAAATATTCATCTTTTAAAAAAGACAATTTGACCGAATTGAAACATAATGGTGTCAAATGTAAGAACAACATCTTTTTAAAAATAGAAAGCTGATTGAACAAAAGATAATGGTGTCAAGAATGAGCAAAACTGTTTAAAAGTAAAATAGACATGTCTGGACATGTCTGGGCAAAACTAGTGTAAGATCACAACATGCCCAGTGGAAGTTTCCAGAGCTAGAAAAGTGACCAATGAAATGATGACACGTGTGCCCACGATAAAACGATAGACCAATAACCTAATGACACGTGTGTCCCAAAATGATGATGACCAATGAAATGCTGACAAGTGTGGTCACTAAAGGGTTTATAAGACAGCACCACACGACTTAGACAGAGTCCTTCTCTGGTTAAGCTCCGGCTTGCTACTGAATGCTCTCGGGTTTTTTGTCGACAATAAACTCTGCTGCTTTTGAGTTGACTCTCCTGCTTTTTATTCGACTGGATTTTTGAACTTCTGGACCACGAGTGAAACTTAGTTTTCACCCACAACACAACCTACCCCCATTAAAAGAAAGTTTCCCTGATTATAGATGGCTCTCACTCGTTCAGTAGCCTACTGATCTTCTCGCAGCCTGGTTTCTTACCTGTTCAAGCTACTCACAGGTGAATTTAAAAACCTTGTTTATCCAATGAGCCTGGAAAACACTGGGTGTCCCACAGTTGTGTTGTATTGAAGTTGTACTAGTTTTTTTACATTTTTTGACATTGCACAGCAGTCTACTCAGTTTTGGTGTATACTGTGTATACATGTGCAGAGCAGGGTTAGGCTTATTTGTGAGTTCTAATTACGAGCCAACAATCAACTGAAATAACAGATTTTATCAAATATATTTAGCTAATATGGTCATTAGTTACCCCAGGCCTCAGGCTGAAATGTATAGGAACACACACGCRCAAACATGCACACTCTTTACCTCAAACATTGTTCCAGCGCTGTTCTCCAGTACAATAATGAGGTCAATGTCTCTCTTCTCTCCCAGAAAAGGAGGGTAGGCAACATTGATCAGCAGCCCTGCATCAACCAGGTGGAATTGTTCTTTGGTGCCAAGGCAAGGTGGAACATCTGACCGGCAAAATCATTTGCAATCACTATTA